GTAAAAGGAATGGGATTTTCAACACAGCAATCTGAAGAACAAACTTTCTGAACGCCTTTATCTGAACAAGACGTCCTTCGAGCTTCTTGTGCAGGGGTAACACCTTCCACATAAGTTTCACAGGTTCGTCGCGTTTCTTTTTTGATATATCACGAAGGAGAGCGATAAATCTAAAAGAGATCATTGCAATTATCAGAACTGACACAAACCTTGGAAAGTACACCATCTTCTTCGGATCATCTAATTTCATCCTCAACTACGGACAAGTGGATGTTGTGCACTACTAAGATTTTAACAGCGTCTATTGACTATGGAGTCATGTTCCATCCTCGAGATTACAAGCGGAACCTTACCTGTCATATTCATCATCCCACTTATTGAACAACTGTATACATTGCATCATAAGCTGATCAAATTCGACAATAGAAATATGCATTAGACGACGAGTACCGAGTACCTGAATGTAATTCAATATGCTTATTCGCTCTTGCTGACGGTGAGAAAAAAGAATGGTACCTTTAGTATTTGTCCATTCATGTCACGCGAAATTGCTTCAATAAACCTCAAAGCACGTTGAACTGGATACTTAGTAGCTCTGGAAGTAAACTTTTTACGAATGTTTAGCACCGGACGTGATTGAAAATAAATACTTTTCAAAAGTTTAGCACTGGGACCTTAACAACAAAAAGAGAAAAAGTTGTAAGATATTGACACGAACCTAATCTTCTTCATATGCCCGAAGACGTTACCCAGAGCAATTTTGATCGAGTCCAAATCGGAAGCCGATACCAATTCATTCAATGGGAAATCCTTCATTAGAGAGTTGTAATCGGTCACTAGGGCCAGCGTTTGCTTCAAACCTGAGAAAAAACTGAATTTAGGGAGCACCTTCAGGAATTTTTCTCCCCATCTGGTGAAGTTATAGAGTAAAAGGACAGTACGCGGCTCGTGGAGTCTTTCCACCAGGAAAAAAGAAGATGCCTAGAGAAAGACTTGTAGCAGTAGATCGGGAAAATCACGGCCATATGACAAAAAATATGTAAGAGCCTCAAGCCTTAATGGGAGGAAGCTCACAGCA